GGAATTCACTAAGCCTTTAGGGCCACAGAGGAATTCAGAAAGGTACGGATTGCAGGTAGACCTCGGCCTATGATCAGATCCATTGTTAAATGAAGTGGTTGTTAATTGAATCATACCTGATTTTACAACTTGTTTGCCATGGCTGTTAAGCGAATCACTACAGTTGTTAAGAGAATCACGTGGTCGTTAAGCAAATCTGGCTTCCCTCCATTGGCTTTGCGTGTCGGAAGCCAGCTGGGAAGGTTGCAAATGGGGATCCCATGTAGATCCGGGATGCCACAACACGTGACTGTCTGATTGACTTAACAACAGCAGTGATTCGTTTAACAAATCATGGCAAAAGGTGGTATAATAATAATAATAATAATAATAATAATAATAATAATAATAATAATAATAATGATGATGATGATGATGATGATGATGATGATGATGATGGGGGAACATGATAGCAGTGTTCCAGTATCTCAGGGGCTGCCCCAAAGAAGAGGGAGTCAAGCTATTTTCCAAGGCACCTGAGGGCAGGGCAAGAAGCAACGGATGGAAACTAACCTAGAACTAAGGAGAAACTTCCTGACAGTGAGAACAATTAACCAAGGTTGAGAAGCACTGCTTTAAACAATTTAGACTAAGCTGAGATTGAACTAAGGGCAATGAAACCAAGGTTACCATCTAGCATGTCTAGCCTGGAGGAAACTGAGAAATGTCATGCCCGCCTTTCTGAAGGGGAATCAAAAGAGGCAGAGTGAAGCCCTGCTCTCTGCTCTGATCCGTGGGGGAAGGATCCCACTGAAAAGGATTACATTACGGGAGGACGGATTCTAGTTAAGGATTAGGAGGAATTATGGCAAGAACAGGTCGCTAATGGAGGGCTGGCTTAGAACGGGTTCAAATAGCTTGGAGGGCCCCTGAAAAAGGCTTCCTATCTCCAGATAAGATAAGATAAGAAAAGCAGATGGGATCGATCACACACGCCAGATCTGATCTGGAGTACCTGTTGAGTTGCTGAAGGGACAGAGGCAGAATGAGAAATGTGGTCAGAAGGCAAGTTGAGAAAGGGGAGAGAGAAAGCAAGAGGGAGAGGGAGGGAGGGAGGGAGGGAGGAAGAGGGGAAGAGGGAGACAAAAAGAGAAAGAGGAGGGAGTGGGAAGGACAGAGAGGGAGAAAGATCAGGATAGGGAGAAGGAGAGAGGGAAGGAGTGAGAGAGGGAGAGAAAAAGAGAGGGAAAGGGTGAGAGAGGGGTAGGCAGAGGGAGAGAGGGAAGGAGGGAGAGGGAGAGAGAAAGAGAGAGAAGCGAGGGAGAAAGGGGGAGATGGAGAGAGGGGGAGAGGGAATGACAGAGGGCAAGAGAAAGAGGGAGGAACGAGGGAGAAGGAGAGAGAGGGGGGAGAGGGAAGGACAGAGGGCAAGAGAAAGAGAGGGAGAGAACTGAGGGAGAAGGAGAGAGAGGGGGAGATGGAGAGAGGGGGAGAGGGAATGACAGAGGGCAAGAGAAAGAGAGGGAGAGAAATGAGGGAGAAGGAGAGAGGGGGAGATGGAGAGAGAGAGGGGAGAGGAAAGGACAGAGAGGGCGAGAGGAAGAGAGGGAGGGAGAGAACTGAGGGAGATGGAGAGAGAGGGAAGGACAGAGAGGGCGAGAGAAAGAGAGGGGAGGGAGAGAGAGTTTGTGTATAAGAGGGGAAAATCACATCGGGTTGAAGTGTGCAAATGTGACAAGGCCAGAATCCCGGGGGCGGAAAGACGCAGGAGGAGATGGATAATTGGGAAAGGATGAGGAGGAGAGATGAGTTATGAAGCAGGAGAGTCAGAGACTGCTTTGAGAGAAGCATCCAGGGAGGAAACTGACAACCGGAAGGGTGGAAAAATCAAATGGAACAAACAAGCAACTAAGAAAGACACCCCCCCCCCCAGCCAGAGCTTTGACACTGTTTGCAAAGGGGGGCTCCCCTGTTGCCCCCCCACACACACAGCAGGGGCAGGGATGGCAGCTTCACAAGAAGGGGAAACAGACCACCCATTTGCACACATACACCCAGAAGCACCTGGGTCCTCCCCAACCTGTTTGTCTCATTGCTTTGGAATTCTTATTTTCAAAAAAGAAAGGTGTGTGTGTGTGTCTGCGTGTGTGCGCGCGCGCACCTGCGCAGGCGCAAAGGCCCTGGAGGCAAGATTACACTCATATCCCCCACGTCAGAACGGCCGCATCTGTGGCGGCCAGTCAAATTAAATCCTATTAAGTGGAGTTTCCTCGTTCTGTATTAATTAAAAAAAAAAAAGGGGGCGGTGGTGGTGGTGGTTAGGAGGTAATCTGAACCCTCTATCTCAAGTGGGAGGGGGGGTTTGAAAAGAAGGCTTAGCCCCCCCCCCGCGCCCGGCCTGACCCCTTGATTTGGCACGGGGCAAATGAAATATTCAGAGAAGGAACATATGAAGCTGATTCCAGAGCAGGGGGTCTTCACACGTGACAATTTTGAAGACTTGTGGACTTCAACTCCCAGAATTCCTCAGCCAGCCAGGGAGTTGAAGTCCACAAGTCTTAAAAGTTGCCAAGTTTGAAGACCCCCTGTTCCAGAGTTTAAAACCAGTGTTTCTCAACCTGGGCCACTTTAAGATGGGTGGACTTCAACTCCCAGAATTCCCCAGCCAGCGCATGCTGGCTGGGGAATTCTGGGAGTTGAAGTCCACCCATCTTAAAATTGCCCAGGTTGAGAAACAAATGGTTTTAAACACAAGTGTCCTGTTGTTATTGTTGTTTTAAGCAGGAATGTTGAATCTCAGCCCTATCTCCAGCTTTAGTCAGGGGTGGTGTGTGTCCTGGCTCCCAACTCTGACACCGGAGTGTCATTCCTAAACCAGGGTCCTTTGTGAAAACGCAGAGAGGGAAATGGCAAAGGTGCAATGGATGGTTTGTGATTTTCTCCTGCTGCAGCAGAGAAGGGGCACCCAGTCAGCCTTGCGAGGTAGTCCAAACAAGAAGCACACCCAGAGGTGCTACCTCTAACTTGATTGTAAGGTTACATGAATAGAATCTTACAAGTCTGAAAGTAAATCTCCCACATTGTCTATACCAGGGGTAGGCAACCTTGGCTCTTTTATGACTCGTGGACTTCAACTCCCAGAATTCCTGAGCCAGCATGGCTCAGCTTGGAAACCTCTCCCTTTCCCCTCAGCATGGCTGGCTCAGGAATTCTGGGAGTTGAAGTCCACGAGTCATAAAAGAGCCAAGGTTGCCTACCCCTGGTCTATGCAGTGCAAGAAACTGGGTGTGTGTGTGTATGTATTTATGTGTGTGTATGTGTGTGTGTGTCCCTGTTGAGATGTTTCCCATCCCCCTTTTCCTTCTGGGGGCTCAGCTGCCTCTTATCTTGACTGATGCTTAGTCTGAAGCTCTTCCGCCTGTCTCCCAAGGTCGCTTGCTCAGGCCATGACGCTATTTGTCTGCTGTCTCGGAGAAGACATGAAGTGTTAATACCACTTTACAATGCCTTGGTAAGGCCACCATTTGGAATACGGCATCCAGTTTTGCTCACCACGGTGTAAAAAAGATGCTGAGGCTCTAGAAAGAGTGCAGAGAAGAGCGACAAAGATGATCAGGGGACTGGAGGCTAAAACATATAAGGAACGGTTGCTGGAATTGGGTATGTCTAGTTTAACGAAGAGAAGGACGAGGGGGGACATGATAGCACTCTTCCAGTATCTCAGGGGCTGCCCCAAAGAAGAGGGAGTCAAGCTATTCTCAAAAGCCCCTGAAGGCAGGACAAGAAGCAACGGATGGAAACTAATCAATGAGAGAAGCAACCTGGAACTAAGGAGAAATTTCCTGTCAGTGAGAACAATTAATCAGTGGAACGGCTTACCTCCAGAGGATGTGAATGCTCCAACACTGGAAGTTTTTAAGGAGAGATTGGGCAACCACTTGTCTGAAATAGTAAAAGGCAGGGGTAGGCAACCTAGGCTCTTTTATGACTCGTGGACTTCAACTCCCAGAATTCCTGAGCCAGCCATGCTGAGGGGAAAGGGAGAGGTTTCCAAGGTGAGCCATGCTGGCTCAGGATTTCTGGGAGTTGAAGTCCACGAGTCATAAAAGAGCCAAGGTTGCCTACCCCTGGTATAGGGTTTCCTGCCCGAGCAGGGGGCTGGACTAGAAGACCTCCAAGGTCCCTTCCAACTCTGTTATTCTATTCCATTCTAAGATGGCAGTCACATTCTGACACAAAATTTTCATTCTGAGGGGTCAGCCAAAGAGCTAATTGGGATCCTGAAGCCTCACAGAGGTTTAACCTTGTTGTAACCCCTTTGCAACCCTGATCTCCAAGCCCCAGATCCAGATCTTAGCTAAACCCACTTTGGGGAACTACGCAGGGTCTCTTCTTGAGACGATTCCCTTGCCCATTTTCTTTGAGGGCTCAGCTGCCTGTTATCGGTTGTTGTGAATCTTGTCTCCCAAGGTCATTCACTCATACCAATTTTTTATCTGTTTATCAAACCTGTATGCTGCCCATCTTGACAAAGAGGGGGACTCTCGCTACAGATAGTCCTCAACTTACAACCATTCGCTTAGTGACCGTTCAAAGTTACAACGGCATTGAAAAAGGTGACTTACGACCGATTTTCACACTTACGACCGTTTGCCGCATCCCCAAGGTCACGTGATCACAATCCAGACCACTTGGCAACCAGTTCATATTTACGACGGCTGCAGTGTCCCGTTTTTGCCCCCTTCTGACAAGGCAAGTCAAGGGAGAAGGAGCCAGATTCATTTAATAACCGTGTTGCTAACTTAAAACAACTGCAGCGATCCGCACGACAACTGTGGCAGGACAGGTCGCAAAAAAACGGGGCAAAAACTCAACTTAACTCTCTCGTTTAGCAACAGAAATGTTGGACCTCCATTGTGGTCGTTAAGCCGAGGACTACCTGTACAGACGCTTCCCTCCCTGCGGCAAATCTGACTCCGAAAGCGGGCCGGGTTTTATACGAACTGGGGGCGGGCAGTCCAGCCGGTGGTCACTGCTGCTTGCAGGTGGAGAGTTTGCGGATCTTGCTGCTGGCGGAAGAGGCCTTGTGGGAAGGGTTGGAAGAGGCGCTGGCCCGCCGCTCGGCTTTCGTCTTGCTGACCAGCTGACCGGACTCCGTCCCGTTCATGCAGACCGGTTTGGGCAGCCCCCTGGTGCAGCTCTGCCCGTTCTGCCTGGTCTCGTTAGGCACCTGCCCTGGAAGACACAAGGGAGAACTTTCCGTGTCAGTACAGATAAAAGCTCTGCCCCTCCCCTGAGCATGTGCAGAAAGCCTTTCGCCTTCCTCCTGAGTCGCCCCCTTAAACTGGAATTTATTTAGAGAGGCGGCGAGCAAGGGAAGCGAAGCGTCAGTGTCAAAACCCAAATCCAGGGCCAATTTATTTGCAAAGCGCGATTTATCGTTAAGATAGGCCCTGTTTTAATGAGAGAAACGGGAGACACATTTAGAAACATATTTAGAACGGCACAAATGAAATAATTATGCAGAATAATTGTATTTCATAAGAACGCACCTCATAATTGTGTATGATAATTTTACCGTGGAGAAAATTGAGGGAGGGAGGGAGAGGAAACAATAGGTAGATTACAGGTAGTTCTCATTTAATGACTGGTTGCTAAGCAACTGTTCAAAGTTATAACAGAGACCCCCCCCAAAAAAGCTACTTATCACCTGGTTCTTCACCTTCCCGAGGTTGAAAAACTAGCTTAGAGAAGCCCAGAGAAGAAAAAGCAAATGTAAGACATAAGAACAGTCTTCTAAGGCAGTGGCCCCCAACCTTTTGGGCACCAGGGACCGGTTCCGTCAAGGAAGGTTTTTCCACGGACCGGAAGGGACTACTACAGGTGGTCCTCAACTTATGACAATTGAGCCCAAACTTTCTGTTCTGAAGTGAGGTATTAGTTAAGCGAGTTCTATAGAGGAAGATTCAAACTTGAAATAAGGAGGACTTTTCTCACCAAGTGAACTTTTACGCTGAGGAACAGTCTGCTTTCTGGAGTCAGCAGAGATTTTCAAGCAAACAACAGAATAACAGAGTTGGAAGGGATCTTGGAGGTCTTCTAGCCCAACCCCCTGCTCAAGCAGGAGACCCTATACCAGGGATAGGCAACCTTGGCTCTTTTATGACTCGTGGACTTCAACTCCCAGAATTCCTGAACCAGCCACGCTGAGGGGACAGGGAGAGGTTTCCATGCTGAGCCATGCTGGCTCAGGAATTCTGGGAGTTGAAGTCCACGAGTCATAAAAGAGCCAAGGTTGCCTACCCCTGCCCTATACCAAGGCTGGGCAGACATTTGTCTAGGGCAGTCTGAGAATTCCAGCTCTGCGCAGGGGGTTGGACTAGAAGACCTCCATGGTCCCTTTCAACTCTATGGTTCTAAGCATGCAACTTTGTTCATTTGGGACATTTTAAGGGTCTTTCTGGATAAGTTCAAGTGGTGATTCTCAAAATAAATTCTGCGACTTTTTGACCCCTCTAGCCTAGAGCAGGGGTCCCCAATCCCCGGTCCCGGGCCGTGCAAGCGATGGGCAAGCACGGACACCTTGCTGCATTTGTGCAAGCTGCGTGCAAGTGCGCGCATGAAGCTTCATTCGCACAAGTGGCGTGTGCATGCGTGTGAAACCATCACCTCTTCTCTCCACCCCCCCACCCCCCTGCTGCCGGTCCAGAGAGCCAGAAATGCTGGGGATCACTGCTCTAGACAGACCTTCATTTATCCAATCTTGAAGAAATTTCCAGATAGGGCGTGTGATTCCTATTTACAGGTGCTCTTCAAGTTACGACTGCAATGGAGCCTGCCCGTTGGGGTCTTAAGTCACGACAGTCATAAAGGGAGTCATCACACACCCGACCCAATTTTTGCAACCTTTTCTGTGATCGTCGTTTGGGGGATTTGAGGTCGTTAAGCAAATTGACTGTTCGCTAGGGGGCCAATTTTGTTGAAGTAAATGCCGGTTTTCACCCAAAAACATCATAAATTGTGGTCAAGTGACCAGGGGACACCGCTTTTGGCTCTAAAACGCTGGCTGGTTGCTGAGCATCACATGATCGCGGGGAGGGCATCAGAACCAAGCCATAATATAAGTGTCTTTTGCGGGGTTCTGTTCTATCTTTGAATAGCCACTTAGGGCTTGGTCATAAATCAAGGACCATCTGTACTGTTGCTTCTTCTGAAAAAGGAAGAATAATATGTTACCCAGATTGGTGCCACCATCTGCGCAAGACATCATACCGTTAACCAAGTTTAGACACGTCTTTTTTTCATCCCTTTTAAAAATGCTACAGTTTATGTCATCTTTTTACACGTTCTTATTTATTTTTAGATCTTATACTCACTGTTTTTCTGCGATTATGTACAGAGGCATGCAACAGTTCTATTATTGGATGTTTTAAAGGTCTGGCCTTATGGCGGCAAGAAACAGTGTTGACTTGATTTGATCTGAAGCAGGCAACTTGACCTTTGGAAACACGTGCAGGCCACCCGGGGGAAGAGGAGAAACACACTCACATGTGCACGTCATACCGGAAGTCCTCGACTTACAACTGCAATGGAGATGGCCTACCATGGCCCTAAGTCAGTGGTGGCGAACCTATGGCACGGGTGCCAGAGGCGGCACTCAGAGCCCTCTCTGTGGGCACGCGCATCGTCGCCCCAGTCCTGGGCCTTCAACTGGGTTTTATAAAACCTTTTCACTTTAGGCCTCCACCACCGTGTGAAAAAAAAAAAGGTTCAATCGTCAATTTCAACTTTTCACGGGAAAAAAAAAGATCTTGTAAAGTTGAAATTGATTGATTGAACTTTTTAGTCCCACCCAGTCTGCCGTTACCACCGCACCCACGCCCACCCAATGGGCCACGCCCACCCAATGGACCACACCCACCCCCGGCACTCGACCATGCATAGGTGGGGTTTGGGTTGCAGTTTGGGCACTCAGTCTCTAAAAGGTTCGCCATCACTGCCCTAAGTTATGAAGTCACATGACCAATCAGATTTTATGAGGGTTTTTTTTGTGGCGGTCGTTAATCAAAGGCTATCGCCGTTAAGCAAAACGATGGTTTGTTATGGATTTCATGGAAGCTAAAAGGAACATATAAGGAACATATAAGGAACGGTTGCTGGAATTGGGTATGTCACATTTGATGAAGAGAAGGACTAGGGGTGACATGATAGCAGTCTTCCAATACTAAGGGGTTACCAAAAGGAAGAGAGGGACAATCTATTTTCCAAAGCACCAAAAAGCAAGAAAAAAAGAAACAATGGATGGAAAGAATTCATGGAGAGAACCAACCTAGAACTAAGGAAAATATTCCTAACATTGAGAACACTGCCTTCAGAAGTTGTGGGTGCTCCATCACTGGAGATTTTCAAGAAGAGACTGGACTGCCACTTGTCTGAAATGGTATAGGGTCTCCTGCTTGAGCAGGGGGCTGGACTAGAAGACCTCCAAGGTCCCTTCCAACTCTGCTATTCTGTTCAAACTTGTCACCTGGGAGATTAAGAGGTCTTCTCCATCATTCCAAAGGGCACGGATTCATGTTATAGGAAGTCTCACTCTAATCCAACACTGGGGGAAAAAACTTCCTAATGGCAAGAAGAGTTTGAAAGAGAAACCAACCCTCTGGAGAAAAGATGGATGCTCCTTCACTCAATGGATTGAAACAGGCTGGATAGCCATGTCTCTGCGATGCACCAAGAATGTACTGGATTTGGAGGTCTCTTCCAGTCCTCTGAGTCTATGAAAAAAATTAAGGCAGTTGCGGATAAAAAAAAGAGTTCCCCTGTCCTATTGTGTCTGACTCTGGGATGGTACTCGTCTCCGTTTCCTAGTTTAGCCAAAGGAAATAGCATTGCTCAAAAACGCTTCTGTGGCTGGCATAAATGCTGAGGCTCATGGAACGCTGTTATCTTCCCACCGAAAGGGTACCTATTTATCTACATGCATTTGCATGCTTTCTAACTGCTTAGGTGGGCAGGAGCTGGGGCAAGAACTGGAGCTCATCCCGCCCCGCGGTAGAATAGAATAGAATAGAATAGAATAGAATAGAATAGAATAGAATAGAATAGAATAGAATAGAATAGAATAGAATAGAATAGAATAGAATAGAATAGAATAGGAGTAGAGTAGGATAGAGTAGGATAGAGTAGAATAGAATAGAATAGAATAGAATAGAATAGAATAGAATAGAGTAAATAAAGTAGGATAGGATAGAGTAGAGTAGAGTAGAGTAGGATAGAATAGAGTATAGAGTAGAGTAGAGTAGAGTAGAGTAGAGTAGAATAGAATAGAGTAAATAAAGTAGGATAGGATAGAGTAGAGTAGAGTAGAGTAGAGTAGGATAGAATTGAATAGAATAGAATAGAATAGGAGTACAGTAGGATAGAGTAGAGTACAGTAGAATAGAGTAGAGTAGAATAAAGTAGGATAGGATAGAGTAGAGTAGAGTAGGATAGAGTAGAGTAGAATAGAGTAGAGTAGAATAAAGTAGAGTAGAGAAGAGTAGGATAGAATAGAGTAGAGTAGAGTAGAGTAGAGTAGAGTAGAGTAGGATAGGATAGGATAGGAATAGAACAAACAGAATAGGAATAGAATAGAATAGGAGCTGGAAGGGACCTTGGAGGTCTTCTAGTCCAGCCCCCTGCTCAAGCAGGAGAACCTATACAATCTCAGACAAGTGACTGTCTAGCCTCTCCTTAAAAACATCCAGTGATGGAGCACCCACAACTTCTGGAGGCAAAGCTGTTCCACTGGTTAATTGTCCTCACTATCAGGAAGTTTCTCCTTAATTCCAGGTTGCTTCTCTCTTTGATCAGCTTCCAACCATTGTTTCTCGTCCTGCCCTCTGGTGGCTCTGGATTGTACAACCTGACCCCCTCTTCTTTGTGGCAGCCCCTCAGATACTGGAACACCGCTATCGTGTCTCCCCTATTTCTTCTTTTCTTTAGACTGGCCAAACCCAAGTCCCGCAGCTGTTCCTCGTACATTTTGGTCTCCAGGCCTTGGATCACCTTAGTTGCTCTTCTCTTGAATTTTTTCCAAACTCTCAACATCTTTTTTGTGACATGGTGACCAAAACTGGCTGCAGTGTTCGAGGTCTCAAACTGCCAACCTTTGGGTTGACAAGCCCAGTGTCTTAACCGCTGGATCATTGTGCCCTGCTGAGTTTGGCCTACTCTTGGTAACCAACGCTGTGCTG